GTGACTTTATCCTGTCATTTGGTGTTGAGTGTGCAGCATAAACAACGTAGGTGGAAACCGTTCAATCTTTTCCTATGATGAGCATAAGTTTTCCATGTTTCCCCACCATACATGAGTGCTGAGGATGCAAGCTTGGTATGCTAGCATTTTGGTCTTGATAGTAAGCTTTGAGTTGTTCCAGGCTCTTTTAGTTAGTCTGGTAAAGGTGGTGGCAGCCTTTCCAATGCGAACATTTAGTTCTTCACCCAATAAGAGGTTGATGGTCACTGTAGAACCTAAATAGCTGAACTTTTGGACAACTTCTAGCTGGTTTGTCAACAGAGAAGGTCTATTTGCAATACTAGAAAAGACAGGATGCCCACCAACTCCGTTAAGCCTTATACGTTCATTCCACAACAACATGAGAGCAACTGTCCAGTTTGACGGGTCCACTTCGGACAGCTTTGGGATGAAAAGCGGAGTGAAAGCAAGGATGTGTTCTTGCCCCTACACTCTTTGGAATCTTCTTCTCAGTACTCTTGAACTGTGCATTTAAGGACACGAAAGATGGAATATATCTTCACTCAAGTTCAGATGGGAAACTCTTCAAACTGTCCCGACTTAAGTCAAAGACCAAAGTCAAAAAGGTGCTAATCAGGGAACTTCTATTCGCTGATGATGCTGCCCTCATAGCATAGGCACCGAGTTTCTAATCTGCCACAGGGAGGGGAGGGGAGGGGAGGGGACGGGAGGCTTCCCTCTGGCCCCGCCAAGGCCCCACCCCCACTCCACCCCTTCCCCAAGGCCCCACCCCCACCCTGCTTCTGCCCTGATTCTTCCCACCCCACCCCTTCCCCACCCATTTCCACCCCCTCCCCGAAACACACTGTGCCCTCGCTCCTCCTCCGTTCCCCCATAGGCCTCCTGATGCCGCGAAACAGCTGATCTGCTGCAGGCACTAGGCACTGGGAAGAAGGGGGAGTTGCTGATCGGCGGGTCCTGCTGGCGGGCAGGAGGTGCTGGGGGGAGAGGAAGGTTTTGGAAGGCGAGCTGCTGGTGGGTGCTGAGCACCCACCATTTTTTTTTCCTGTGGGTGCTCCAGCCCTGGTGCCTATGCCTCACAGCCCACAATGAAGATCTATTACAAGAACTCATGGACTGCCTGTCAAGTGCCTGTCAGGCATTAACTCTCACTATCAGCATCAAGAAAACAGTTGAATTAGGGGGTTCCACAAGGAGCCCAATTCAGCTCCGGGTTAAACCGGTCTAATTTGGACCATACAGTGTTCAAAACGTGGACTAGAAAACTGGAATAACAGACTCCAAGATATCACTCCCAGGTTATGAAGGCACCTTTGTTTAATCTAATTTAACCTTTGTTTAATCTATTTAGGCACCATTAATAATCCCAGTCATTTAGAATGGGTTCATTTAATTAGCACACTCATAAAGGACATTGTAAGACATGGATTTGGGCACCTACGGAAGACATGCAGCTTGACTCCATGAAGTGGGTCCTCTTAGCAGCCTGTAGATATCCGACCTTGAATGAGGATCTTGTCAGGAGGGATGTCATTTCTGAAAAATTCAGGCGGGGGAGGACAAAATTGTGTCAGCACACATAATATGATATGTGATTATATTATTGTCACGCTGTCTGGAGTGGCTCACGAACATGGGTGCCAACCTCAGGGCAGACTGTCAGGAAATAGGGCACAAATCCCAAATCGGTTATGTGTTCTATAATTGGATTTCACCAACCAAGTAACAAGTGTGAACTCCACAAGCACTATAACAGCCTTATCATGGAGTCACAGATGGACCCCTTGGACACTCCAGTCTATCTTGCCACCCAGGCAAACCTGACTCATTGACAGATGGTCCCTTATATGAAAAATCACAAGAGTATTCAGGTTACTCCCAGTCCTAAAGGACCAGCCACTTATCCCAGGTCAATTGTACCTCAGTTCTCTCACGAAGACAATGCTTGTAGCCAATCCTGTAATAAACTAACTAAAGATGTATAACTAGGAAAAGGAAATGACAGTTATTTACAAGGTTAAAGCAAGTAACATAGACACACAAATGAGTTAGTCTTAGATTCCAAAATATAACAAACTCCATATGTCCATTAGGGCTAACCCAGGCAAAGCAACTAGGGGCTTTTGCTTATGCTTAGTGAGTCTTACCCCTTTAGAGTGCAAGCAGCAAAAAGAGCCAAGTTTCTCTGTGTCAGGGATTTTTCTCTCTTTCTCCCCAGAGCCCAACTGATGGGATGAGTTCATATGCAGGTCTCCTCTTCCTGGAAGGAGTGAGGAGTGCAATTAACAAAGTCTTTGTTCTTTTGATGTTTCACAATAGCTCACTTAGGGTATGTCTACACTACGGAATAAGGTTGAATTTATAGAAGTCGTTTTTTTAGAAATCGGTTTTATATATTCGAGTGTGAGTGTCCTCACAGAAAATGCTCTAAAGTGCATTAAGTGCATTAACTCGGCGGAGCGCTTCCACAGTACTGAGGCTAGAGTTGACTTCCGGAGCGTTGCACTGTGGGTATCTATCCCACAGTTCCCGCAGTCTCCGCTGCCCATTGGAATTCTGGGTTGAGATCCCAATGCCTGATGGGGCTAAAACATTGTCGCGGGTGGTTCTGGGTACATATCGTCAGGCCCCCGTTCCCTCCCTCCCTCCGTGAAAGCAAGGGCAGACAATCGTTTCGCGCCTTTTTTCCTGAGTTACCTGTACAGACGCCATACCATGGCAAGCATGAAGCCCGCTCAGGTAACCGTCACCCTATGACTCCTGGGTGCTGGCAGACGCCGTACGGCATTGCTACACAGTAGCAGCAACCCCTTGCCTTGTGGCAGCAGACGGTACAGTACGATTGATAGCCGTCATCGTCATGTCCGAGGTGCTCCTGGCCACGTCGGCTGGGAGCGCCTGGACAGACATGGGCGCAGGGACTAAATTTGAAGTGACTTGACCAGGTCATTCTCTTTAGTCCTGCAGTCAGTCCTATTGAACCGTCTTATGGTGAGCAGGCAGGCGATACGGATTGCTAGCAGTCGTACTGTACCATCTTCTGCCAGGCAGGCAAGAGATGAGGATTGCTAGCAGTCGTACCATCTTCTGCCTGGCAGGCAAGAGATGAGGATGGCTAGCAGTCCTTCTGCACCATCTGCTGCCAGCCAAAGATGTAAAAGATAGATGGAGTGGATCAAAACAAGAAATAGACCAGATTTGTTTTGTACTCATTTGCTTCCCCCCCTCCCCTGTCCAGGGGACTCATTCCTCTAGGTCACACTGCAGTCACTCACAGAGAAGGTGCAGCGAGGTAAATCTAGCCATGTATCAATCAGAGGCCAGGCTAACCTCCTTGTTCCAATAAGAACAATAACTTAGGTACACCATTTCTTATTGGAACCCTCCGTGAAGTCCTGCCTGAAATACTCCTTGATATAAAGACACCCCCTTTGTTGATTTTAGCTCCCTGAAGCCAACCCTGTAAGCCGTGTCGTCAGTCGCCCCTCCCTCCGTCAGAGCAATGGCAGACAATCGTTCCGCGCCTTTTTTCTGTGCGGACGCCATACCAAGGCAAGCATGGAGGCCGCTCAGCTCACTTTGGCAATTAGGAGCACATTAAACACCACATGCATTATCCAGCAGTATATGCAGCACCGGAGCCTGGCAAAGCGATACCAGGCGAGGAGGCGACGTCAGCGCGGTCACGTGAGTGATCAGGACATGGACACAGATTTCTCTGAAAGCATGGGCCCTGCCAATGCATGCATCATGGTGCTAATGGGGCAGGTTCATGCTGTGGAATGCCGATTCTGGGCTCGGGAAACAAGCACAGACTGGTGGGACCGCATAGTGTTGCAGGTCTGGGACGATTCCCAGTGGCTGCGAAACTTTCGCATGCGTAAGGGCACTTTCATGGAACTTTGTGACTTGCTTTCCCCTGCCCTGAAGCGCATGAATACCAAGATGAGAGCAGCCCTCACCGTTGAGAAGCGAGTGGCGATAGCCCTGTGGAAACTTGCAACGCCAGACAGCTACCGGTCAGTTGGGAATCAATTTGGAGTAGGCAAATCTACTGTGGGGGCTGCTGTGATGCAAGTAGCCCACGCAATCAAAGATCTGCTGATATCAAGGGTAGTGACCCTGGGAAATGTGCAGGTCATAGTGGATGGCTTTGCTGCAATGGGATTCCCTAACTGTGGTGGGGCCATAGACGGAACCCATATCCCTATCTTGGCACCGGAGCACCAAGCCGCCGAGTACATAAACCGCAAGGGGTACTTTTCAATAGTGCTGCAAGCTCTGGTGGATCACAGGGGACGTTTCACCAACATCAACGTGGGATGGCCGGGAAAGGTACATGACACTCGCATCTTCAGGAACTCTGGTCTGTTTCAAAAGCTGGAGGAAGGGACTTTATTCCCAGACCAGAAAATAACTGTTGGGGATGTTGAAATGCCTATATGTATCCTTGGGGACCCAGCCTACCCCTTAATGCCATGGCTCATGAAGCCGTACACAGGCAGCCTGGACAGTAGTCAGGAGCTGTTCAACTACAGGCTGAGCAAGTGCAGAATGGTGGTAGAATGTGCATTTGGACGTTTAAAGGCGCGCTGGCGCAGTTTACTGACTCGCTTAGACCTCAGCGAAACCAATATTCCCACTGTTATTACTGCTTGCTCGGTGCTCCACAATCTCTGTGAGAGTAAGGGGGAGACGTTTATGGCGGGGTGGGAGGCTGAGGCAAATCACCTGGCTGCTGGTTACGCGCAGCCAGACACCAGGGCGGTTAGAAGAGCACAGGAGGGCGTGGTACGCATCAGAGAAGCTTTGAAAACCAGTTTCATGACTGGCCAGGCTACGGTGTGAAAGTTCTGTTTGTTTCTCCTTGATGAAACCCCCCGCCCCTTGGATCACTCTACTTCCCTGTAAGCTAACCACCCGCCCCTCCTCCCGTCAATCACCGCTTGCAGAGGCAATAAAGTCATTGTTGCTTCACATTCATGCATTCTTTATTCATTCATCACACAAATAGGGGGATGACTCCCAAGGTAGCCCAGGAGGGGTGGTGTAGGGGGGAAGGAAAATGCCACACAGCACTTTAAGCACAGCACTTTAAAAGTTTACAACTTTAAAATTTATTGAATGACAGCCTTCTTTTTTTGGGGCAATCCTCCGTGGTGGGGTGGCTGGTTGGCCAGAGGCCCCCCCACCGCATTCTTGGGCATCTGGGTGTGGAGGCTATGGAACTTGGGGAGGAGGGCGGTTGGTTACTCAGGGGCTGCAGTGGCAGTCTGTGCTCCAGCTGCCTTTGCTGCAGCTCAACCATACACTGGAGCATACTGGTTTGGTCCGCCAGCAGCCTCAGCATTGAATCCTGCCTCCTCTCATCACGCTGCCGCCACATTTGAGCTTCAGCCCTCTCTTCAGCCCGCCACTTACTCTCTTCAGCCCGCCACTTACTCTCTTCAGCCCGCCACCTCTCCTCCCGGTCATTTTGTGCTTTCCTGCACTCTGACATTATTTGCCTCCACGCAGTCGTCTGTGCTCTGTCAGTGTGGGAGGACAGCATGAGCTCAGAGAACATTTCATCGCGAGTGCGTTTTTTTTTCTTTCTAAGCTTCACTAGCCTCTGGGAAGGAGAAGATCCTGTGATCATTGAAACACATGCAGCTGGTGGAGAAAAAAAAAGGGACAGCGGTATTTAAAAAGACACATTTTATAAAACAGTGGCTACACTCTTTCAGGGTAAACCTTGCTGTTAACATTACATACATAGCACATGTGCTTTTGTTACAAGGTCGCATTTTGCCTCCCCCCACCGCGTGGCTACCCCCTCAACCCTCCCCCCTCCCTGTGGCTAACAGCGGGGAACATTTCTGTTTAGCCACAGGCAAACAGCCCAGCAGGAATGGGCTCCTCTGAGTGTCCCCTGAAGAAAAGCACTCTATTTCAACCAGGTGACCATGAATTATATCTCACTCTCCTGAGGATAACACAGAGAGATAAAGAACGGATGTTGTTTGAATGCCAGCAAACATACACTGCAATGCTTTGTTCTACAATGATTCCCGAGTACGTTACTGGCCTGGAGTGGTAAAGTGTCCTACCATTAAGGACACAATAAGGCTGCCCTCCCCAGAAACCTTTTGCAAAGGCTTTAGGAGTACATCTAGGAGAACCGCGAATGCCAGGGCAAAGTAATCCTTTCACATGCTTGCTTTTAAACTATGTATAGTATTTTAAAAGGTACACTCACCAGAGGTCCCTTCTCCGCCTGCTGGGTCCAGGAGGCAGCCTTGGGTGGGTTCGGGGGGTACTGGCTCCAGGTCCAGGGTGAGAAACAGTTCCTGGCTGTCGGGAAAACCGGTTTCTCCGCTTGCTTGCTGTGAGCTATCTACAACCTCATCATCATCATCATCTTCTTCGTCCCCAAAACCTGCTTCCGTATTGCCTCCATCTCCATTGAAGGAGTCAAACAACACGGCTGGGGTAGTGGTGGCTGAACCCCCTAAAATGGCATGCAGCTCATCATAGAAGCGGCATGTTTGGGGCTCTGACCCGGAGCGGCCGTTCGCCTCTCCGGTTTTCTTGTAGGCTTGCCTCAGCTCCTTCAGTTTCACGCGGCACTGCTTCGGGTCCCTGTTATGGCCTCTGTCCTTCATGCCCTGGGAGATTTTCACAAAGGTTTTGGCATTTCGAAAACTGGAACGGAGTTCTGATAGCACGGATTCCTCTCCCCAAACAGCGATCAGATCCCATACCTCCCGTTCGGCCCATGCTGGAGCTCTTTTGCGATTCTGGGACTCCATCATGGTCACCTGTGCTGATGAGCTCTGCATGGTCACCTGCAGCTTGCCACGCTGGCCAAACAGGAAATGAGATTTAAAAGTTCGCGGTTCTTTTCCTGTCTACCTGGCCAGTGCATCTGAGTTGAGAGTGCTGTCCAGAGCGGTCACAATGGAGCACTCTGGGATAGCTCCCGGAGGCCAATACCATTGAATTGTGTCCACAGTACCCCAAATTCGAGCCGGCAACGTCGATTTAAGCGCTAATCCACTTGTCAGGGGTGGAGTAAGGAAATCGATTTTAAGAGCCCTTTAAGTCGAAATAAAGGGCTTCATTGTGTGGACGGGTGCAGGTTTACATCGATTTAACGCTGCTAAATTCGACCTAAAGTCCTAGTGTAGACCAGGGCTGAGTTTCAAAGACATTCTTGTTGGGCAGGAATTTACTTCTTCTGTAGGAAGCCACCATTTGCATTAGAGATGATTCCTTTCCTGTTTGATGAGGTTTACCTTGCAAACATTTGCTATTGCTTTATAACATGGTGTACTGATGAGTGAGACTATGCAGCATCCTACAAGTTATTCAGAAGTACGGCTCAGGGTCTGTCACGGAGGTCACAGAATTCATGGATTCCGTCACTTTCTGAGACCTCTGTGACGTCTGCAACGGCCACTATGGCTGCCCCCAGTGCCACCCAAGCAGCCAGCTCAGGGATAGCCACACCGGCTGCTGCTGGAGTGGCTCTGTAGCCAGTCACTTAGGCAGCCCCACAGCTAGCTGCACCGGCCACTGCTTGGGTGTCCCAGGGCAGCGGGCCCTGGGGACCACCCAAGCAGTGGTCCCTGGGGCAGCCAGAGCAGCGGCTGCTCTGACGGCCCCTGGCAGCTGGTGCTGCTGGCTCTGCCCCCCCCCCCCAGCAGCGGTGTGCCCCTCGCAGCAGTGACCCCTTGGGGTGTACACCACAGTAGCAGCCACCCCAAGATTTAGTCTGGGGTATTTATAGAATAAGTCATGGACAGGTCATGGGCCATGAATTTTTGTTTACTGCCCATGACCTGTCCATGACTTTTACTAAAAGTACCTGAGACTAAATCGTAGCTTTATTCATAAGGCCTAAACACCAAACACATTCTTACAACTCTAATATCTATCTTAACAATATAACAGATAGGAGAGTCAGACTGGTTTCCAGCTATGCATTTGTCAGTGTTCAGTGAGGCCTGGGGCCATGCCATGAGCTGGCACTTGGTCTGCCAGCATCACAATTATATCCTGCAAAGTTGCAGGGGGCAGGAGTGGAAGAGATAATGGAGCATATGGAAAAGTCTATACCAACTCCTCCAACACATAGCAAATGACTCCCCTGCTAGTCAGATCCCTAAACTAAGCAGTGTTAGGCCTGATTGGCACGTGGATGGGAAATATCCACAGAAATCCCCAGTGTGCTTCAAGAAGTGTTGTTGGTTACAGAATACGTGACATTCTTCCCTCTGTATGACAGCTGAACCTCATGGCTCAGCCTGGTGTTGAAGAAAGACCTCAGTACTGTTGGAGTACTTATTTCTGGAGGAAGGTCTGAGCCACTTTATGGTAACAAAAAATCCCCTGACAGTTTTTGCCAAGGTAGAAATGTTAGTCTTGGTGTGCCAGTCAAATTCCAGCTCAGGTAAATTACTCTCTGGCTGACCTAATTTACTCTAATAGTTTCAGCTAGCCAAAGTACCCATGAACAATTAGGGTGTGCGCTGCGCTGCATTTCATCCTAGAGGGCAGTGAAGTCTCACACAAAGTCTGCAAAGCACCTTAATGTCTCATTTTTAAAGGACCTATAGAAATGTAAGAAATTATTTGCTCCAGAACATCTCTTAACAGCCCAGAATCATTATCAATCCCCCACCAAGGAAAGGTTTGGTTTTCTCTATGAAAAAAAAAACAAACAGGCCCCAAAACCCAACCTCAGCAGGGAGGAACAAATCACAGCCATGTTTGTGCTTTTTGTCCCAACTGCTTGATTTACGAGCCCCAGTGCAATGATTAGAGATGAAAGAAAACATTCCAGAGGCCAAGACCTGCACATTGCTGGTGTCTCATGCCTGCCTTTCTGCCTGAGTTACTGTAAAGGGGACGGGAAACAAAACAGGAAAATTACAAGGAACATACTGGTCACCACAGGCTTCTTTCTCTCTTATCATTTATTGAGCACCAGCTGTGTGTACAAAACAGAGGAAAATAATCCCTGCACTAACGTGTTTGTTATCTAGACAGACGAACGATAATGTTCAGGCTCCCATTGGTGTCTAAGAGCCGTAAGGAGTAATAGTGGCCAAAGGATGAGTTTATTGCTTTATTTTGCTATTTTATTTTAGGCAAATAAATATGGAAGAACTCAATGTGTCTGATTAGGGTGGGCTGTCTAAGAGTACGTCTGAAGTGTTTGAAAGGGGAAAAGGTGGATGTTTGTTGCACGGGACAGGAGAGGATGATGAGAGAGGGGACTAGAGAGGCTGCAAGCGATAACACAGTTTTCGTTCTGTATATAAATGAAGACAAGATAGAGTTGTAACTTGCTTGCTCCCCAGGACTCTGCACTACAACACAGGAGCTCACATACATGTCTCCACAAAGCAGCTCTGGACAAAATGTGCCCCTGTAGTGCAGGCACTTACCACAGTGATGGAAAGGGTTCTTCCATTGACCTCTCCACGGGGCGGTGACTAGGAATTATTCCGTACACCTAGTGGCATCTACACCAGGGGCTAGGTCAGTTTAAATACATTGCACAGAGTGTGAAATTTTTCACGGCCCTGAGTGATATAGTTAAGCTGACCTAATTTTGTCGTGTAGAACAGCCCTTAGTAGTTTGTGCCAGCAGAGCATAGAATAAGAATTATGATAAAGGTCTATATAGTAATTGTCAGGCACAAGGAAATCTGATGCATTAATAAAGGAGAGCAGCTTCCTTTGGACAGATACAGTGTAGAACCTGAGCACTTGTCTAGGCCTAAACATTAGATCAACCTAGCTGAATACCTCAGGGCTGTGAAAAATATCACGTCCTGTGCAATGCAGCTTGCATGAGGAAAACATTTATCCACCCCAGCGGATATCAAAGGACAGTAAGAATGTGCCATTCTGATGAGTGGTATAAATGAGTTTAATATATAACTCCCTGTTTCTGGAGGAGTAGAGGGATAGACGATACACTGTAAGAGCACAAAATTGGTCTGAAGTCAATATGAACGAGATGTTTCTTTGGCTGAATGTTTTTTCCTACTCCTATCGCAACTGGTGCATCTCACACAATGGCTCTCTTTCCTTAAACAGGAGGACTTGTGGCACCTTAGAGACTAACCAATTTATTTGAGCATAAGCTTTCGTGAGCTACAGCTCACTTCATTGGATGCATTCAGTGGAAAATACAGTGGGGAGATTTATATACACACAGAACATGAAAAAATGGGTGTTTATCATTAACAGAGTTGGCAACGGGCTTTGTTGCAAGGATAGGTTCCTGGGTCAGTGTTTCTGTTGTGTGGTTGCCGGTGAGTATTTGCTTCAGGTTGGGGGGTTGTCTGTAGGCAAGAACTGGCCTGTTTCCTAAGATTTGTGAGAGCAATGGGTCGTCCTTCAGGATAGGTTGTAGATCCTTGATGATGCATTGGAGAGGTTTTAGTTGGGGGCTGAAGGTGACGGCTAGTGGCATTCTGTTATTTTCTTTGTTGGGCCTGTCCTGTAGTAGGTGACTTCTGGGTACTCTTCTGGCTCTGTCAATCTGTTTCTTCACTTCAGCAGGTGGGTATTGTAGTTGTAAGAATGCTTGATAGAGATCTTGTCGGTGTTTGTCTCTGTCTGAGGGGTTCGAGCAAATGCGGTTGTATCGAAGAGCTTTGCTGTAGACAATAGATCGTGTGGTGTGGTCTGGGTGAAAGCTGGAGGTATGTAGGTACGAATAGCGGTCAATAGGTTTCCAGTATAGGGTGATGTTTATGTGACCGTCGCTTATTAGCACTGTAGTGTCCAGGAAGTGAACACTGAAGCAACCTGAAGCAAATACTCACCAGCAACCACACAACAGAAACACTAACCCAGGAACCTATCCTTGCAACAAAGCCCGTTGCCAACTGTGTCCACATATCTATTCAGGGGACATCATCATAGGGCCTAATCACATCAGCCACACTATCAGAGGCTCGTTCACCTGCACATCTACCAATGTGATATATGCCATCATGTGTCAGCAATGCCCCTTTGCCATGTACATTGGTCAAACTTGACAGTCTCTACATAAAAGAATAAATGGGCACAAATCAGATGTCAAGAATTATAACATTCATAAAGACAGGTTTCAGAGTAACAGCCGTGTTAGTCTGTATTTGCAAAAAGAAAAGGAGTACTTGTGCCACCTTAGACACTAACAAATTTATTTGAGCATAAGTTCTCGTGAGCTACAGCTCACTTCATCGGATGCATTCAGTGGAAAATACAGTGAGGAGATTTATATACACATAGAACATGAAAAAATGGGTGTTTACCATGCACACTGTAAGGAGAGGTTTCAGAGGAACAGCCGTGTTAGTCTATCTTCGCAAAAAGAAAAGGAGTACTTGTGGCACCTTAGAGACTAACCAATTTATTTGAGCATGAGCTTTTGTCCATGCTCAAATAAATTGGTTAGTCTCTAAGGTGCCACAAGTACTCCTTTTCTTTTTACTGTAAGGAGAGTGATTACTTAAGATAAGCTATTACCAGCAGGAGAGTGGGGGGAGGGGGTGAGAAAACCTTTGTAGTGATAATCAAGGTGGGCCATTTCCAGCAGTTAACAAGAATATCTGAGGAACAGTGTGTGTGGGGAATAAACAAGGGGACATAGTTTTACTTTGTGTAATGACTCAACCACTCCCAGTCTCTATTCTCCAAGTTAATTGTATCCAATTTGCAAATTAATTCCAATTCAGCAGTCTCTCAGAGTCTGTTTCTGAAGTCTTTTTGTTGAAGAATAGCCACTTTTAGGTCAGAAATCGAGTGACCAGAGAGATTGAAGTGTTCTCTGACTGGTTTATGAATGTTGCAAAAAGAAAAGGAGTACCTGTGGCACCTTAGAGACTAACCAATTTATTTGTGCATAAGCTCAAATGAAGTGAGCTGTAGCTCACGAAAGCTCATGCTCAAATAAATTGGTTAGTCTCTAAGGTGCCACAAGTACTCCTTTTCTTTTTGCGAATACAGACTAAGACAGCTGCTATTCTAAAACATCTCTTTCCGTACTAATTCTCTGATTGCTTCTTGGTCCTGATTAATTTCCTTAGACAGCACCAGTAAAAGGAGGCAAAGATAAACCAGTGTAACTGAATACCAACCTATACTTCAGCTCTTAGCTCACAGCTACAGCTAGCTGGGCTATGGAAAACAGCAGTACAATTAGATTTAAGTTACGGTTGGCAGGCACCAATGGGGCAATTTCCTTATCTTCAATAACAAAAATACTCCTTTCTGACCGGAAAGAAACCTGGAAAATTTGTTAGACACGTAGGCTGGGATTCTGAAGAAAGTGTAAGGGAGGAAGACGCCCAGCTCCCACTGCATTTAAATAGGGTTTGGGTGTTTAATTCCATTGGTCTCCTCGGAAAACCCCAGCTGTAGTAAATAGTCTGGAGTTAGTAGGGTCATTCTTTCGCTCTCTGTTTGTAACAACGGACAGTTTTCGTAACACCTCTTTTGAGTTATGCAGCATTCTTCCCTCAGCAATGAGATTGAAGTTTGTAGCCCACTGTTGACCAGTAAATACAGCGGATTATATTTAAATATGTGACGTACACGTACAAGAAAAACTCCATTAGAAACGCGGGGCAAAAACTTCAGGCCCAGAGATGTCCCTTACTTCCAAGCTAAGCGCTGTGGCTTCAGCGTGCTGGAGCGGAGCAGCACTGGAAGGGCCGTGGCTCGATCACAGGGCTGGGCTACCTGCCCGGGGGAAGGGCCCGGGGAGCTCCGCACGCCGGTCCGCAGCTGGGCGCGGGGCCATTTTATGTTGGGAACTGCTAGGAATTCCTCACGGGTGGTGAAGCCCTGGGCCATTTCAAAGGCTTGCGAGGCAAGAGGGGGTCTGCTACCCCGCCTTCGGAGGGGGTGGAAAGGAGAGAGGCCGCGCGCAGCCCGCCCCCGGCGCGCTGGGGGGTCCTGCTTCCCAGGCTGGCCGCTGCGAGACTCCGCCAGGGGGTCAGCCCTGCGCCGGGGCCGCCACTCGCGGAGGAGGCCAGCGTCGCTGCCGCCTTCTTTGTTACTCGCCAGGCCGGCTCCGGACGGGGCACTCCGACCCAGCGCGGCTCGTGACCAGGCTCAGGCCCACGGCGGAGCAAGGCAAAGGCGGCCGGGCCCCGGCCCCGGCCCTGGCTCCGGCGGTCCGCGGGGCCGCGCGGGTAACCCGGGTAACCAGGCACGCGCGCCCCCCCCCCGGAGCAAGCAGAGACCCCGGGCCGCGCGCACGTGGCATAAGGCCCGCCTCACGCCACGTGACCAGACCCGACCGGTCTCGGCGCTCCTCCTCAGCAGCCCGGAGGAGGCGGGACGCGGCTCTTTGTCTACCGCCTCCTGCTTGGGCGGGTCGGTGGAATCTCGCCCTCTCATTGGCTGCGGTGGGGCGTGAGGGCACCTCTGATTGGCTGTTAGGAGTCGAACCACAACGGCCTACGAGCGGCCGGCCGCTCCCTTCTTCGCCATTGGTCGATAGCGGGGGGGGACCGGCTTGGGACGCGGAAAAGCCCAGTGGTCTCTAGGGCCCGGAGGGGGTGTGGCCTAGGTACGGCGGCCGCGCGGGGCCTAGCTAGTTTGCCGTTCGGTAAAGGAGCCGGGAGCCGGGATGGGGAGCGAGCAGCGCGGCGCAGCTGGGACCGGCGCGGCGCCCGAGGGCGGCCCCGTCTTCACCCTGGCGGAGGTGGCGAAGCGCAACTCGAGCCGCGAGGCCTGGCTGGTGATCCACGGGCGCGTGTACGACGTCGGCCGCTTCCTGGGCGAGGTGAGGCCCGCGGGGCCGGCCCGGGGACACCCTCAGCCGGCCTCGAGAGGCGGGGCGGGCGGGCCCTGCCCGCTCAGGGGCGGGCGGGCGGGCTGGGGAGGGACCGGGGGAGGCGCTGGTATTTATGTCCCCAGGGGTGAGCACCGCCCTGCTGGGCACCCCTGTGGCGGGAGCGACACTCCCTTGCCCGGCGGAGATGGGGAGACGCTGACGATGGTTGTCCCGCAGCGGGGCTTTGTTCTTCACCGTTCGGTGTTCGTAGGGCAGCGGCGTCCTGAGGAAGCCGTCGGGCTCGGGACTCTTGTTTGTGAGGCACGCAGCCTGTGTAGACGGACGCATCCCTGCCCCATGCGGCCGCCAGTCTGATTTAAAGCAGATGCAGCAAGTGGATTGAGGTGGGAAGGGGGATAGCGGTAGCACATGATGTGGTAGTTTCGAATTGTTTCAGTTTTTCTTTTCCAAACAAATAATTGAACCAAGGAGTTCTCGTTGGCATCTCTGCTCCCCTCGTGAGATGAAAAAAGTAAATTAAAGGCTTGGATTTGCATTTCTATCTTGGTTCCCGTTGGCTAAATGAATTAGTAAAAGATTTTATACCAAGTTGTGAGACAAGGTGTGTGAGGTAATATCTTTTACTGGACCAACTTTTGTCGGTGAAAGAGACAAGCTTCCAAGCTACACAGAGCTCTTCCTCAGGTCTGTGGAAAGCTTGTTCCTCTCAGCAACAGAAGTTGGTTCAGTAAAAGATATCACCTCACCCACCTTGTCTCTCTAATACCTTGGGACCAACATGGCTACAACAACACTGCAAATAATATACTAAGTAGTGTCAGTAATATAATAATAATATACAGGGTAGGTCAATATTTTGAAGACCAGTCTCCAAGCAGAATCCAGGTTTTAAAGGAAACGATGCTGGTGATTCAACAGATGAGTATCTGTCACATTATTCACTTCCAAGAAGTGGGTGTATCTCTCTGCCTGGGAAGGGAGTTATCCCTGTGTATAGTCTGCAGTTCTCCTGCATTCTCTGGGGTGAGCAGTGCTATGTGGTCACTCATGTTGCTATTGACTTGGATTCTTGAAAAGTTTTAAGTTATAGGTTGCTCCTAACAGTGTTTGGAGCCAGTAACTGAGCAGAACAAAAAATGGCAATAAATTGTCAGCTGTGTTTTTGTCCCACCTCAAAATAAAACCTCAGCTGCCATGCCAGCACCACCCTCCCGAGCTTCTGGCTTCTACATAGCAATGCACCTATCACCTCGTTCTGAACCAATGCTAAAACAGAAGCACTTCACTGAAAAAAGCACCATCTTCCTTTTCAGGACTGTTTGTACTCTGTGTAAACTTGGCTTGGGTTTACCACTAGCTGAAAATGTCCATTTACATACACCTGCTATGTGGTCATAACATTATTAAGAATATGAGCAGGATTTTTGATCTCCAGGACATGATGACTAAAAAACAAATCTAGTGGAATCTACAGGCTATGTGATAGAGGACAGAATGATAACTCATCAGACTTTTTGGGTCCTTCCATCTTGCAGCATCTGAGATATTGGAGGCCACGGCTTTGTGTGTGTGTGTGTGAAGCTTTCCAGGATTTACAAAGTAAGACAAGATTCATTTTTATTGTACACTGGACAAGATAGTGCTACCTTCCCCCCCAGATACTACAAAGCTGAGTAAAGACTGTGGAGATTGTGCCTGCTGGGCAGCTCAGGCAGCCAGTTTAGAGTAGGATTCTTTATCTTACACAATGACTTGACGATGTCCCGAAGTCAAACTCCTTCATTCAGCCTTTGCTTTTCTTTCAACAAATGTATCTTAGAAGATTCAAATTGTAGCCTCACTTCTTTCTTAGCTCCAGTTGCCGTGAGTGTCTCCTCACTGATTCATGGTTGATGTTTGAAGGGCTTAGGCCCCTGAGCCAACCTTGCATCAGTCAGCACTGATGACTTGAAACAATGCCATTCCTCATCAGATGACTGAGAAAGTGGAACTTTGGTCTCTTAACACTTAAACAGCCTTGAGCAGTTTGGAACAGGAAGCTGTCTGTTAGTTGGGTTCTAATAAGAGCTTTTGGTTGATGGGACTATTTTCAGCCTATTATCTGGCTGATGTCAAAGTCAGAGGTGTATTTTTCTAAGCAGAAGCAGATTGTCAGTGCCCAGTTCAGCATCTCTGCCAATTCGTACATCAATGACTGTTGACTGCAGAGGTGCTGGAACAGTTTTCCTAGTGTGGGTGCTGAGAGGCATTGAACCAAACTGCAAACCCTGTATATAGTGGAAACTACTTCAAGCCTGGGGGTGCTGCAGCACGCCCAGCACCTATGGTTGACCACCTTCGACTGTTAATGAGTCCTAGTGAAACCATGTGGAGTGTACTGGGGTCTGCTTGTGAATCCTCAGGTGATGAAAAAGCAAGTCAGCAATCACCATGTCATTGCCATGTTCCAAGCCCTTTAGCCTCCATGGTGACATTGGAACATCAAGCTCACTATGAAGCTGTGGATCTACAGGACTATGGTTATACCAATTCAGTTGTATGGAAGTGGAAATGAGAGCTCTGAGGAAGGTTGAAGAGCACCAGATTGATGTCTTTGATTCTTGTTGTCTTTGTCAGCAGATCCATATTAAACGCCCGACTAAGATCTGCAATGAAGATATTTGTAGCCGAACCCACCAACCACCTCCATCAGCACAGATTTTGGTTTGGCATCTTCCTTGGTATGGACATATTATTAGGCCAGAAGACCAGTGAATTTTGAGCACACTTATGAAGGAATGTTGCTACATGGTCAATGATGGCCTACATGCCAAAAGCTATGGTGATGCAGTGAGGTTGGCAGTGATGATCATAGACTGAACATCCAGCAAGACTGTCTTAAAGACCTAGCTAGAGATTGATCTGGGTAGTGCTTGCTCTGCAAGGAGGCTGCATTCCTTTGGAATTTGTGATAATGATAACAGTCATGGTCATCTTGTTGGAAGACTCTTGTAAAAGGCAGGCAGCCTCCGTGCCCCTTGGGGTCTTTCACACTGCATTGGCTTAGGCTGTCCCTTCTTTGCTTGAGTCAGTTTTGCATTATTTGCAGCTTTCATAGTGAAATGGAACTGAAATCTTTTCTTGTCTTTGGTGAGGTCTACAGTACAGACTTCTGACGAAGTAGCTATGTCAGTCAGGAGTGTGAAGAGGTCTCATCCCTGACCAATAGAGCTGTGCTAGCAGAAGCTGCTAGGGTAGAGAAAGTTATACTAGCAAAACTGGGCTTTTACTGGTATAGTTTGTTGCTCACAGAGAGTGATCTTGTTATACTGGTACAAAGCACAACTTTGACAGTTTAGCTGCATCCATGCTAGGAGTGCTTCACCAGTATGGCATAGCAGTAATCCTGTGTCGGTAAAGCACTTCTAATGTGGACACAGCCTTTCTCTGCAGGACTATAAAGGGGTCTTGGCTCCCAGATCCTCTGCCTATCTAGATGTGCCATTTATATTCTAGTATTGCATTCAGCTCTGCATCTGCATGCTGCAGTGTCTGAAATGTAACCTGCCGAGCCACTGTCTGTTGTGTATTTATAGGTACTGATCACAAGAGTACCCTAAGTTGTACTGGCAAAAGCACTTTTTCCCCTGTTTGTACTGGGGGATTTGCTGATATAGCTATACCTGTATAGCCATACTAGCAAATCTGTTCTAATGTAGGCTAGGCTTGCATCTACACTACAGCTTTTAGTGCGATAACTATGTAGGCAAAAAAATCATACACCTTACCAACATAGTTATACCAGTTACATTTTTAAGTGTAAATCAAACCTTATTTTACAGACGAAAGCAAGATTAATCCTCATTAGCCCTATGTAGTCAATACAGTTCCTGGAGAGTGTCAGACCCAGGCACTTTAATGGATTTTAAACAAGCCCAGGTTTCAGAGTAGCAGCCGTGTTAGTCTGTATCCGCAAAAAGAACAGGAGTACTTGTGGCACCTTAGCGACTAACAAATTTATTTGATAGCCCACGAAAGCTTATGCTCAAATAAATTTGTTAGTCTCTAAGGTGCCACAAGTCCTCCTGTTCTTTTTAAACAAGCCCAGTGTCTGATAAACTGTTCTGCATGAGATCTCTGAGGGTATGTCTAAACTAGCAGAGTTACAGCGCCGCTCAGAGAATGCTGAAGGGAAACCACTGTTGTGTGTTCACACCGTCAGCTGCCTGTACAATAGAATGTTCACACTTGTGACACTTGCAGTGGTATTTGGAGCGGTGCACTCTTAGCAGCTATCCCACCGAGCATCTCTTCCTCTTCTGTTGCTAAGAGTTGTGGGAAGGCGGAGGGAGTTGTGGGGCATCCTGGGTCCTTTCCCAATGCCCCATGATGCATTGCTTCACATCCCAACAATCTCTGTGCTTTCGTCCGGATTTGGCGCCATCTTTCAATGATTTGTGTACTGCGCGCTCTGCCTCTTCAGTCTGCAGGAATGAATCCCGCACTGTTCTGGCATGCCGTGTTCTCCTTTTGATCCCTCTTCTCGCTGTCCCGCCACTCCTTCAATTCTTGTTTTTCGGAGTGCATCATGACATCATGCAGAAAGTCCTCTTTAGTTCTTCATGGCCACTTTCTAATTCTGCGCAGCCATTCAGCCGGTGATAACAAAGACGAAGGCTGGGCTCCCAAGGTCATATCTGTGAAGCCAAAATGCAACATTTTACAGAAGCCGTATTGTTTGCAACACGCAGACCTCTGATTTAAAACACAGCCACTATTCACATACCTGTCACTAATTGGCTGACACCAGGCAAGTACACATGAGCCACAAGACCCTGAAAATGATGAGGAACCGCAGGGGAAATCGGTGTTCCAGGACCGTACTTTACACTGGGCACATGGCTCTTGGGGAGAGCCAGCACTGTAGGTGGGGGCCTTATAACCATTTACTGTCCCCACATTTTCCACAGGATGTGATCATTATGGAAGCTATCTCGCTGCTGAGGGTG